AGATCCCTCTCCTCTCAAACTCTCTCGAACTCTCTCGAAACCCTAGCCTCTCTCATCATCTTTAACCTCAATCTCACCGGAATCCATGGACTCTCAGGCCATGGATAGCTTAAACTCATCTCCCTCTGCTCTTAAACACTTGGTATTCGAAGGTTCGAGGTCTGACCTTGAAGGTTTTCGTTCAGATCTTCGCCGATTCAAGGTTCTATGGCCATCTCCGGCCCAACTCCTGCACACTATGGTCTTTTGAGCCTGGTTCTGACTTATCCGACTCAGATCAGACCTTTTCTGAGCCTTTCTCACTCTAGGGTTCTTCTGAAACCCTAACTATTCGAGGTTCTCTCCGATTTTTCTTAGATCTGTCACATATCTGTGCTCTACTTGGGGTTTTAAACAATTTCCCTAATTTTTTTCTTTCAAAATTATCTTTTAAAAATCACTTCTCTTCGATTTAGGGTTTTCTGAAAGGTTCAAAGTGTTTCTCCGACTTTTCTTTTCCTTTTTTTGTGTGTATTTATCACGCATGTGCTTCTACTGCTTTCTTATGCTATCTCTCTACTATACATGTCTTTCTGTGCTTTATTTTTCTACTGTGATACCTATATGTTCTTTTGCTATATATACTTTTCCGGTATTTTTGTGTTCTTCTACTGTATGTATTTCCTACTGAGTTCTTAAGTTTGTTTGCCTTCTACTGAACTTTGTTTGAGTTCTTCTAAAAGACCTCTTTAAACATATTTCCGCTATTATGTTCTTAAGTGTTATTGTTTTCTCTTCTACTGAACCCTGTTTAAGTCCCTTCTAAAAGGTTTTTCTTAAAACATGTTTCTTCTACTACCATGCTGTTCTCTCATTAATGCTTCGAGTTAGTTTCTTCACTCTGTTTGCTATGAATTTTCTGTTGTATTTGCTTGTCTTCTCATGAGATTCTGAAAAGAAATCTTTGAGCCTGTTGCCTCCTCATCTCTGTATTTGACTCGAGTCAGAAACCCTAGAATTTGGGGGGTTTCCTCCGAGTTTGGTCATATGATCAGACTAGGGTTCTTGTTGAGAACCCTGGACTCTTTCAGACTTATTTCTGAGTCTATGAACTAAGTTTGAACTTCTTTGTTTATGATTCTGAATTTTTAAATTCTTCTATGCTAGACTCTTCTACTGATTAGCATGATAATTCTTCGTGCTTAAGCGTGGCTGTATGCTTTTATATGTGCGATGAATTCTTTCTTCCGAAAAGGTATTCCAACTTATGATTGATTTAGAATCCTTTTTTTTTAGGTTTGATTGATTGTTACTGATTTTCCTTAAGTCAAAATCTTTCCCATCTTTCTGACTTGGTTCATTCATACAAAATCTTCAATTTTTGATTTACTAGCTGTTAATTGATTCCCTTGCCTTATTTGCACAAACCGTGTACTATCAAGACCTTTTCCTTAAATATACCTCTATGTATTTACTCCTCTTGTACTGCTTTGAAAAGGTGTTTGATTAATCTCTTTCCTTAATTATTTTTACCCGTTTGAAATCAGAATCCCTTAATTAAAGGGAAACCTTGTGAAATTGATTTTCAAACTATTTTCTTACCTATTTCTGCTTGCTTCCCACACTACAAAAGGGCATGACCCTTGCACTTTAAAAAAAACAACACATTACACGATTAGCACATATTACACACTTCAGACACTTATAATCTCACAGTTCTCTTCTAAACTCATAGCATTCTGACTACTCGTTTGCACTTTGGCTTTACAAGACTACTGCTTTCTTTTGCTTGTTTCCTTGAGACGGGTATGTTCTAGTTTTGGTTTAAGCATCATCCCAATGTGTTTACTTACAGCTTTTACATCCATGTCTATTTACTATTTATGTGAAGTTTAAATGTCAATTAGCATGTTAATTCCCTTTCATCGATTTCTGCTGTGAATCCCTGCACCCCTGTTTCCCTCTATGTGCTTTGAGTTGTAGTTCAGAACATGGCAATATGCAAGTTATTGCCCATGTTTGGACTTGATCCCTTTGGGGATCCTAACTCCCAAAACAATGTGTTCTAAGAGGCTGGTGGGGTGTGCCAGCACTTCCTATTGCTAGGTATGCCCACTAGCCTGTCTTTGCCACCTCCCCTTTTCCCCTTTTCAGAATTTCTTCTATGCACTTACACTCATTCCTAGTTTCTAAGTTCTGCCCCACCCCTCCTGTGAGCCATGCCTTGGGACCTTGAGTTCCCTCTGAACTTGGACACTTGAGGGATGGCCCTTCCACACTGCACTATGTCTCAATCTTGCAATGTATTTGGGTGTGAGCACTGCCCGGAGTCCATGAGGCTCTTAGAGAACTCTGACACACCCCAAATGAGAAAGGCTTTGGATCTTGGTCTTTGGAGTTGGTTTACTTCATGCTTCAGGCAGGAAACCTGAATCAGGCTCTCCTTGGTTGTAATTTTATTTTTTGTGATGTAATTTCTTTATTTTATTTTGGTCTGTAACAATTTTATAATAAACTTCTGGGGTGATTAGTGAAAAAAGGAAGGGTAACCATGCATGCAAAGGGGTAGATATCATGTTCATAGGGAATATTTACACTTCTACACTCATATATCCTGTTTTCAGCTTTCACTTCTGCATCTCATATAGAGACCATGTCTATAGGTTTCTGCACTTCTGTATTTCTATAGAGACCATGTCTATAGGTCATTTCTGAAATGCTGCATATCATATAGATAATATGCCTATAGGACTTCCTGAATTTTGCATCTGCATATATCACTAGGCAAACCTGTTTATAGGTTTAAATAACTAACAACATTTTAGATACCATGCCTATAGGACTTCTGCACTCTTGTTTCGATTAAAAAAATATTTTAAATCAGTAACGCCTAGAAAGCATGCCTATAGGAACCATCAACTAAATCTGAATCGTCCATTCGCTTATGAGTCTAAAATCAGTAGCAACAATAACGACTGCAGAATTTATATTCCTGTAATTGACAATTTCTTTCCCTTAAAATCAGTATACCTGAAACTAATAGATATCATGCCTATAGGTTTTCGTTTAACACTAGGCAAGCCATAGGGTAACATATAAATTGAATCAGATTCTATTAACCACAACCAGTAGCCAGGCCTGATTCGGGCTTCTTATCTGAAATATGTAATAGATCGGTTTGCCACAACTCTTAAGTTTAATCAGACCCTAATCAGTACGTGTAAGACATGCTAAAACTATATGCTTCTTTTTGTTTTTAAGGAGGTTTGTTACATATGTGTTTTGATTGTCGCCTTAGAATTTTGTCCTTTGAAATTATAAAACCTCACACCCCTTCCCTTTAGGATTAGTAGTCCCTAATACCTCCGGGGCTGATAGGATTGGGGCGGGTAATAGCATGCAATAAGAAAACGAGACTATTCCGCGCTTTAATACCTTAACGGGGTGGGAAAGGGTAGATATAGATATGATGACCACGCGATAACACCACGTGTATAAACGGTTACCGGGTGTTGTGTGGGGTGATCCATATTATTTATAAACCTAGGACCCCTTCCTTTACTTGTTTATCTTGTCCAGAATTTCAAAACTGTTTTTTTTTCAAACTTCAGCTTCTTTAACTTCTTTTAATTACTTACCACAATTATGTGAAAATTCCCCTCTTTTACTTGTGTATTCAGAATTTTTTAAACTGCTTCTTCTCAAATTTCAGTTTCTTTGACTTCGTTTAACTGCAATTACTTGCAACAATTATGTGAAAACCCCTCCCCCCCTCATATTTGTAACTCATATTTGTCTATTTGTTGTTTGCACTTAAAGTCACAATTATAGTATGATCGGGAACCACACTAGTGGATCTCGAGGGGTGCCTAACACCTTCCCCTCGGGATAATTTCAAGCCCTTACCCAATCTCTGGTTTTCTAAATCGATGTTCTTCTTAGTGTCCTAATGCACTTAATCATTAGGTGGCGACTCTTCAATTCAAACCCAATTCCCAAAAGGAAACGAGTTGTCCTCCCAAATGTCATAAACCCGATTTCGCGAGAAAAAGGGGGCATCGACAGAGATCAATGCAGTTCCAGGTGCATCTGAATCTCAAAGAAACAGTGGGTGAATGTGAGGTAGTTGTCCGATCTCATCTGTCGCCATGATTGAGCTTGAAGTTCTGCAATTACAGTACTCCGATCTGCGGAATTACAGAAATTGCTGCTCTGATACCATATCAATTTGTTGAATCTACACTCTATGAATCAAGCTTCATAATATGCAAAATGAATCTAGGGTTACGTAGGACAGAATCTAGGAAGAGAAATGAAGAGAAGAGTTGGAGAGAAGAGAGAACATTTTCTTAGCTTCAGTAAAAGAAATGATACAACTAAACTGGGGAAGGGCAATGTTCTATATAACATAATCATGTGCCCTTCACACCCCTCCAACAATGTGACCCTTAAAGTTCTTTTGTCTACACTTAGGTCCCTCAATTGGTTTCTTAACTAACCAACTCAATCTAATGCTCTTGATATAAATCTTAATCTAGGTTTCCTAGCATGCTGAAGAAAAAGATTAGGAATGTAGACATGAACATGAGTAAGTCCATACCCATTTTCAACTAATTTACTATCCGTTTTTTTTTTGTGGAAAATTCCTAAGAAACCAGCTGCCGCTATCCTTCGGCTGCGCACTGGGTAACCTGCTCATGTGTAATAGTTCACGAATGGAGATGTAAACCGCACTAGGTACGCCCGGTGCAACGAGCTCTGCCTGAGGAGACTTCTAATGAGGGAAATCGATCCCAGGTCTCCCATGTGGGAAACCACTCACCTAATTGCGAGCTACTATCCGATCTTTAATGAAGCTGTTTGTGGAGAATTGTTCTAATCAATACTAAGGATTGTGTTCTAATAATCTAATTATTGCAACATTTAAGGTTAGAGGAATTCATATCTTTCTGACTTAAGTTTGAGCATTGTTATGTGCCAATTGAAACAAAAATAATGAGATCTGAAGATGTTACCAAAAAAAATAAAAATAATAAGTAATAATAATAGTTGCAAACTGTAGTAGTAGTAGTAGTACAGTACTAGTTAAAAATGAAAAACCCATCGTGGGATGGCTTTGCTCTGTACAACATTACTGAACTACGTACAAGTATTTCATATATACTAGTTCTAGCTAGCTACTAAGCAATCTCAGTTAACGTGCCCGATTTAGCATAGTATTAAAGGCACGCTGATCTGATTCTTGCCTCTGCAACATTCTCTCACGGTTGATTTTCTTTATGAAATCATCAAATCTTTTGTTGGATTCCTCTGCACTTACTGAATTAAAGTCCCCTCTCAATCCCCCTCGTCTAAACACCGATAAAGCATCGTTAAAAGTTAATGATTTTCTGAGATCCTTCCATGCCGAAGCCACTGATGGTAACAAGTCTTTGGATCCAATGCTCTGTGCTGATACAACTACTGGCTCTGGCTCCACTGACCATGTTTCACTCTTCTTCAGTATATGATTCTTCTTTTTCTTGTTTCCTCCTCCTGTTATCGCGTTCCATGTCGCCTCCAATGAGTCATCCACTTCCTCTACTTCTTCAATATTTTCTTGATTGGTCATTTCTTGGTGATTGGTGTAGGTTGTTGTATAGTTGGTTTTTATAGTTGGTTGAGGTACTGGATTTGTTGAACGTGGACTATTGATTTCACGGGCTTGAGTCAAATGAGAAATATCTGGAAATGACATTTTTTGTACACAATCAATTTCAATGTCTTTCACACTACACGGCATCTCATCTTCAATATCTTCTAATACAGGATGTGAATTATTATAACGGCTGAAAAAAGACATAACAGTGTCCATTGCAATAGAAGAATTACTTCTTTTCGGCTTGTCTTCTTTCTCATGATATTGTGGTGGTGAACATAATTGTGGCGACTCTGACTCATGATCCTGAACCTGCATATTTTCTTCAGCAATATCCTTTTCATCTAGAAAAATATTTAAAAAGTCCATTGTAGAGCGGTGAAATTTGGAGAAAGTCAAGATAAGAATGACAACAGAATTGATAAAGATGCAGATATAAAGTGGAGATGACAAGAATCTCTTCAAAAAAGTAAAAACTTCCTTTAGGTTAATGAGAAACATGTCAAATAAGTAGCGTGGATTTATAGCTTTTTTCAGCATGAAAAAAGTAGAGATCAGTCCGGTTGATAAGAGAAGAAGCTCTATGGTTAATATCGCAGATTGTATTATGCTTTTCTTCTCCGATAATCTATACGCTATCAACGTTGCCATGGACAGAGATTGTCTATAAGTGAAAAACAAAAGGTGATTTAATTTGTTTCTTAAGGCTAATAGAGGATGAGATCTATTAGACAAAGAGGGGGAATAGGTTTATGATAAGACTTGGGATTTTCTTTTTGGTGGAGAGCTAAATCTTTACAGTGTATAGCCACTAGATATATTGCGTACAATACAACACTATAGACCCACACAACATCAAGTAAAGGTTTATGGAAGCCTTTTTATAAGCAGACAATAATGGTGACAATGAATTTCCCACTTATTTAACTTTTTTCTTAGGTAGTGTTTGGACATAGATTTGGTTGAAACTTTAAAAAAAAAGTTTCTATATTTGTGTTGAAAAATAATTCTTGGAAGTTGAAGAGAGTTTGAACATGCATTTTACTTTTAAAAAACTTGAAGTTTTGTGATTGGACGAAAAAATTTCACCCAAAATAAACCAGTTTTCAGAACTTGTAATTTTTTTTAAAAGCTGATCATATTCCATGAACAGTAGTATTTTCAAAAAAAATTGAAAAAAATAGCCAAAATTTATGGCCAAACGGGAGCTTAATCTCAACTGTTCCTCTTCCTATGCCAATTTTTTTTAATGAGTTTAACTAGTATATATCAGGGAAAAATTATAATATATAAACACCTAAAAGATAATAACAGATAAAATAATACGTTGTAACATGTTATAAAATGTTAAATTACACGTTTTTGCTTGTGGGAGAGTGGAGAGGGGAATTGTTTGACCAAAAAATATAAATCTTTGGTAAACTAATTAAATAAAAAGATAAGAGGTTAATCATATTTAAAAATAATGACTTTAGACCCAAAAGCGATTTATGCGGATAACATGGAACCACGTCAGATTAGATTTATTGCAATACACATTAAATGTTACGGTTATTGATGGGATGAGAATAATGATAAGCAATAAATAACAATAAATGGCACTAAATGTAAATAGAGAGAATGATTCACCCAATATTGAATGAGGTGGATGATTTCTCTTTCTGACAATGATGTAACACAAACAACTATGAGAATATTGGAGATTTTCTCGGATCTGATGTGAAAAGTATAGAATAAATAACGAATCGAATCTCTTTAGAAAGGTTGTGTTTGTATTTATCTAGAGAGTCAACTTTTCAAGAGAGTTCTTATCAAAATCAATAATACATGCTCTTTACCTTCTCTCCCTTCCTATTTATATGGGACATGCTCCTAATCTGATCTAAAAGTACAAGTACAGAGAATAATCAATGACATATTCTCCCAAATATCTTATTACAAAATTAGCCGTTACTGTTGCTTTGAATACTTGACCTCGACTATAATCAACATCTCGGCAGTAAATTCCATTAATCTTCATTTGACCTCGACCTAATCACCTCTAATAATCTCTCCTCGTGCCGGATTCCCTTAGTAGGATTTTGACCCACACAGGAATGGGTCAAGGGAGTTGGGCTGAGGGATGAAATGAGGTATGCATAAGTAAATTAAAACGAAATAGATTGATAAGATTTCCAAGTTTACCAATAGACTTTAAATAACCACGTAATACAGTCTTGGTCTAACCTGTATAAATTAAATTTATAACAGTAAGATAAGGATGAGATACTTACTTTTAATTTAATAGAATTAAACATATATTTCTAAAACATTTTTCTCAACTTCTCCAACCTTTGATTATACATTTGTAACTTTCTTCATCATTTCTTGAATTTTGTATGACAAAGCGTATCCAAATAGATCATGGTGTTAAGATATTTAATGGACAAGCATGATATAGAAATGCAACTTTATAGGAACTTTGAATTAATTTAGTCGGCATCGATATCTTTGCTTATTATAATTTGAATCAAGCAAGTTAAACCTAAAAGTTAATTGCTAGTCTATTTATTTGGTCTTACAACTTAGAGATGACTATAAAGTAAACATGATTCACCAAAGTCAGTCAATATATCTATTATATTCTTGTTTGCTGATGTGGTTAGTGTTTCAAGTAACCTTAGCTGAATAAATTATCAGGATAATTTGAGTTAATTTTATTTGATCTTTTGTGTTCGTTATTCAAAAGTCACTTTTCTCTTTGTTTTTGTTACGTAAAAATCATTTAATTTTGTGTTCATTATTCAAAAGTCACTTTTTTTTTTACAGAAAAATCATTTTACTTTGCTCTAGTTATCACAAAAGTCACATTTGCCAGATTTTATAATATTTTTACTTGAAAAGTCTGTTATGCCCTTGATATTATATAAATCTTCATATTTATGTAATACCTTCTATATTATATATGAGCGCTACTGTGTTAAAACACAAAATCAGAAAAAACTGTTAGAAAAATAAAAGAAACTGGAAAAACAGAAGAGTTTAAGAAATATTCCGAGTCCACAATTTGCTTGTGTGTCCTTAAGGAATTTTAACCCCCTCACACGTTGCCAAGGTAATGGATTAAATCCTCCCAGGATAAAACGGAATAAACCTTCCTGCAACAGTGGCAATACAAACTGCATGATACCAACGAACTTAAAGAACGGAGCAAAATCACACTTACGAATTTGAGAGAAAGAGACTGCGAATTAGGATGCAGTATATTCAAAAAGAAAGAAGTTCTGGAGTGTTTTTTCGTGTTTAGAAAATGGAGCCTTGCCTCAGAATTAATAGGCAATTATCAGAAGAGGTGGCTGGAAAAGGTGACTTTTCAGAAGAATACGCTGCCTGCCGCGGTTCTACCGCGGTCGCGGCAGAACCGCGGTCAGAGAGGCTTTTTGAATCAGCCTGTCGCGGTTCTACCGCGGTCGCGGCAGAACCGCGGCCGGAGAGGCCCTCTGATTTGGCATTTAATTTATTATTAAATAATTAAATAAACTTTGTCCAAAAATAATCTTATCGATCATTTGACAAATCCAAATCCAAAGTCGAAGCCGAGCCGAGCGAGCGAGCGACGACGGCGCGAGGGTTCATTCTCTTCAACTCCTTTTAAGAGCTTTAAGAAGTGATTCCATATATAAGCACACAAATGTGGTTGTCCCTCACCAATGAGGGACAAAGTGCAAGACAAAAGTTCACTTCTTCAAATTTTCAATTTCCCTCCATTTTATTTCCCTTCATTTCCAATTCACACTTCTTCTACTTTAAAGCCCAATGGCTTAAAGTCCAACAATCCCCCACATGAATGGGAATGACTGTATCAAAAAAGATCATAGATGAAAGCTATGTGATCTTGCAAGTAAGGATTAATTGCATCTGGATAAGTAGGTTTCCCTTTGAACTTTCCGTAGTGAACATATGTCGGATATACTCGGTCAATCGGTAGATTTGATATCTTTGAACCGTCGAACTTTAGTGTATACCTAGACAACCATATGTCACACAACCAACCCTTAACCGTCTTTTGGTTCTCATTGTTGTGTTCGTTTTAGCCATGAACACCGCCTGGTTTCATAAGTGCGTAGAGAATTGGCCTTACAAAATTCTCATTGAAGCGGCTTCCACTTCACACTTACATAGATGATTCCTAAACGTGTAATCCTTTAGATTGACACTATTTGATAAATACCTCATCAAACTTAGGTAATCATTAAAGAACGTGTAAAGTTCTATCCTTGTTACTGAACATTGTCTTCATCACGAGAATGGACCAAAGATTTTATTTTGACAATGTTGAACCGGTCAATCACAACTTTGTTTGAGCTCCTTGAACCTAGATCTCGGAACATCCAAAATTCTAGGTAGAGTTACCGCCATGTTAACATGTCCTCGGCCATAGTCCCATTCCCTTAGATGATTTCTCAACTCCCTCTCTAGTTAAGCCTTTTGTAAGCGAATTCGCCACATTGTCCTTTGATCTTACATAATCAATAGTGATAATTCCACTAGAAAGTAGTTGTCTAACGGTGTTATGTCTTCGTCGTATATGACGAGACTTTCCATTATACATAACGCTCCTTGCCCGTCCTATTGCAGCCTCACTATCGCAATGTATGCAAATAGGAGCCAAAGTTTTTGGCCAGAACGGAATGTCTTCTAAAAAATTCCAAAGCCATTCAGCTTCTTCACCGGCTTTATCCAACGCTATAAACTCTGATTCCATTGTATAGCGAGCGATACATGTTTGTTTGGAAGACTTCCAAGATACTGCTCCTCCACCAACAGTAAACACATATCCACTTGTGGACTTTGTTTCTGATGAGCCGGTTATCCAATTAGCATCACTATATCCTTCGATAACCGCAGGATATTTATTGTAGTGCAAAGCGTAGTCTTGGGTATATTCCAAATATCCCAGAACTCGTTTCATTGCTACCCAGTGATGTTTGTTGGGATTACTTGTGAATCGACTAAGTTTACTTATCGCACAAGCTATATCAGGTCGTGTACAGTTCATGATGTACATTAAGCTTCCCAACACACGAGCATACTCCAATTGAGACGTACTTTCACCTTTATTCTTTATAAGATGATGATTTAAGTCAATTGGAGTTCTTGCACTTCTAAATTCCAAATGTTTGAATTTTTCAAGTACCATTTTCACGTAATGTGATTGAGACAAAGCTAGACCTTGAGGAGTCCTCTGGATTTTAATTCCTAGAATTACATCGGCAACTCCTAAGTCTTTCATATTAAACTTACTAGCAAGCATGCGCTTAGTAGCTTGAATGTCGGCAATGTCTTTGCTCATTATTAGCATATCGTCAACATATAAGCAAACAATGACTATATGATTTGGAACGTTCTTAATGTAAACACATTTATCACATTCATTAATCTTAAAACCATTTGACAACATTGTTTGGTCAAATTTCGCATGCCATTGTTTGGGTGCTTGTTTTAGTCCATAAAGAGACTTAACAAGTCTACACACCTTCTTTTCTTTTCCTGGAACCACAAACCCTTCAAGTTGGTTCATGTAAATTTCTTCCTCAAGATCACCATTTAAGAAGGCTGTTTTTACATCCATTTGATGGATTTGAAGACCATACAAGGCGGCTAACGCTATTAGCATCCGAATGGATGTAATTCTTGTTACCGGCGAGTATGTGTCAAAATAGTCAAGACCTTCTCGTTGTCTAAATCCTTTGACAACAAGTCTTGCCTTGTATTTGTCAATAGTACCATCGTCTTTCATTTTCTTCTTGAAAATCCATTTAGAACCCAACGTTTTGTTACCTGGAGGAAGATCAACCAATTCCCAAGTATGGTTGCTCAATGTGGATTCTATTTCA